GCTCCTGAAAGGGAATTCCGAGGCCCTTCATAAGACCTCAGCTCCTGAAAGTAGGGATAGGGATAGACCCCCGAAAGGGGACCTAACAGACCTACCCTCTCTCAATGACTAAAGCATGAATCAGACCATGGCAGTCACCCTGAAGCCTTTCAAGGCTACAGGGGGACAAAAGAAAGGCAAAATGCAGGCCGATTGTGTCCGGCCTGCAGAAATGAGCAAGGACAAGACAGAAAAATATCAAGAAAGTCTGTCCATGCACCTCAGACCGAGAGAAATCTGAATTCCCCTCAGAATTCTCAAAGTCAAGAAGGGGCTCAAGCTGAACCAGCCAAACCAGCTGCCCTCACTACTAAAGGCCTTAAACCCCTACAGAGGGGAGGCGTGAAGAGAAGGGTGGAAATTGACTGAAGAAGAGTCTGAACCCACCCCAAATCGACTAATGCATTTTAAGGTACCAAAAGAGCCTAAAGACTTCGACAATGCCTACCAACTGGTTAGGGCATTGGAAAAGAAAAAGCAGGTCAAACTCTCAATTCGAATCGCTAGAGATGAGGGCATGCTTATTGTACCCAAAGATAAAGCCACCCTGGGCATCACAAGGCCAACTGCAAGGCCAAAGCCATATGTGGTGTATGCAGCAAGGCACATAAAACAGAAGTGTGCATCAAGGCACACAAAACAGAAGTGTGCATCAAGGCACACAAAGATGGCCAGAAGGACACAACACCCGTGTCCAAACTGTGCCAAGAAGCATCATGCCTGGAGCCTGGCTTGCTCTGCCAGGAAACAGGCAGTCATTAAAAAGCAGGAGCAAGCCAAAAAGCGTCCTTACGTTGTCCCTGCGCCCCCAGGCACCTATGTCTGGGGACAAAATAAAAGGGAAAGGACTCCCCGACCTCCTAAGAGGAAGGAGATATCCCCCCCAGCCAAAGCCGGATACCTCTAACAGAGAGGAATTCCCCAGGCTTGCTAGTGGCAAGAAAATGAAAAAGAACCCGAGGGAAAAAGGTTCAAAGGCCACAGCAAAGAACCCCCAGTAAATGGTAATCTCTTCTTTGACGAGAAGGATATGACTTTCCTGTTGAGTGCTGTAGTTTCTGCAGTAGCAACAGCCTTGGGGAGGACCAGTGAGGAGGCGGAGAAGGCAGTCCAGGTCGCCATGACGGCTATGACCCAAATTGTTGCAGCTCTGAAGGGAAGGAAGCTAGAAGCCTCCAAACCGAAAAAGAGCTGCACTCCCCTCCCTAAATCCTCGAATGGCAGGCTAGCTTCGGGAGAAGCATCATGTGAAACCCCAGCTAATCAGTCAGATTGAAACTGTGCAGCAGAGGCCCCCACTGCAGGCCGAGTCTGTACAGCCAAAGTCTGATCCCCTGACTCATGGCACACAATCTAAGCATTCTGCAGTGGAATATCTGCAGCTATAAAAGCAAGAACTCCTTTCTCCAGTCAATAGTGTGAGCAAGGAGCATTGATGTCGTCATGCTCCAGGAGACACTAACTATGGGATCTGTGCACTTCTCAGGCTATCATGTCTTCACCACTCCAAACCTGGATGGTGCTAGAGGCCTGATGACCCTGGTAACAGAAGCAATCCCGTGCTCCTTAGTAGCCAATCCGCTGCACTGTGGCGATGGCGTTGAATCTCTTACTGTTGAGATTCAGCTGCCTGGGGGTCCTTTAAAAATATATAATGTATATAGCAAACCACTCTGTGAGAGCTTAGATTTAAACCAGGTCTGTGCTACCGCAATACAAGACCGAGTGATCATAGGGGGAGACTTCAATGCACACATATCCATGCTGAAACCCCGCAAAAGGCCGAACGTGGCAGGCATTGATATAGCAGAAGTGCTTGACACGTTCCCAGAGATCGCTCTTCTCAATACCAAAGAACAAATGCACATGAGGGCAGGGGTCCTAGACCTTACCTTTGCCACTGCAACAATGGTGGAGAGAATTCGGTGTCGATGATACGGTTACCAGTGACCACTACGGCATAGTCACCACCCTAATGGATGCAGGTCCAGCCCAAAGACCACATCACATTCCTAAATGGAAAACAGACAAGGCCAACTGGTTTGCCTTCCTTGGCTCGATGTCTGAAAGACAATGAACCCAACAATAATGAAAATGTGGATGTGCTAGAGGCAAGGCTAATCCAGGCCATACATCAGCATCTCTTATGCTGATGATTTGGCAATCATAGCCTCTGGCAATCACTACCTAACTAGAGCTCAGCGTTGTCTGAACCTGGTGTCTGAAGAGTGTTGTAGGACGGATCTAAAAATATCGGCAGCAAATTCCAAAGCAATGGCTCTGAGAACTAATGTCAGAAACAAAAAACTCACTGTGCAGGGTTTGGATCTGGAATGGGTTAAGGACTACCTATACCTTGGTGTATGGATAGGACACACACTTACTTTCAAAAAGGAGATCCAATATCTGCTTGACAGAACCAAGGAAAGACTGTCAGTCATGAAAATCATGACAGGGAGACACATAAGAGCAGGACACAAAATACCAAGATCATTCTATGTACATGCTGTCCGTCCTATTATTGACTATGCATCTGTAGCCCTCATTGCTTCCAGCACAACATTAAAAGAAAAACTGGAAACAATACAAAACGATGCAGCCAGGATCATTCTAGGTGCACCCAAGTGGACAAAGGTCATCAACCTCCTCATGGAAGCTGATTTGCCATCCATGGACACCAGAATTGATCTAATGGCCGCACAGTTCCTTTCCAAGGTCCTGCAGGCACCCAGAAACTCCTATCTAAGACAAAGAGTACTCAGACGCCTACAAGACTACCAGTTGTTTGCGGACAACTCTTGGCTCACACATACAGCCAGAGTATTGATACGCTTTCACCTAAAAGAATTGCTTGCCAAGGGCATGGACTCCCCTCACCCTGACTACAAAGAACCCCTGCCGTGGGCAAACGAAATGATCGAATTCTCAGTTTTAAATCTCACAATGAGAAAAGATCAATATTCCATGCCTAGTCTAAAGGCACAAGCACAAAGGGTCATTGATCAAATAACTCCTCCGGGTAGCATAACATACTACACGGACGGATCTGTGGATCCTATAAACCATACTGCAGGCGCCGGCTTCGCAACAAGGGATTCCAGAGCATCCATTAGGTTCACTGACAATGCCTCAACGCTTCAGGCTGAAACGGTTGCGATCATGGAAGCCCTGACACACGTGTCCCTAAGGGCAGGACACGTCATTCACACAGATTCTAGAGCAACTATTGACATCTACCTCCTGACAACAGTACTAACCATAGCCCAAAAAATCCTCAGTCAGGGTAGAAGAATCATCATTAACTGGGTCCCAAGCCACATCGGCATTCACGGGAATGAGCTTGCTGACAAACTAGCTGAAAAGGGCAGGGGTATGCCCCCATCCTCCATGATCGTTAAACCCAGCCGAAGGGGATTAAGCCAAAGAACCATAGCCACAGCATGTGCGGTCCTCCGGGGAGCACATAGAGAAAATATCACAAACTCGCTCACTGCTAAATGGTACTCAGATGCTTCAGGCTATGAGCCACTGGCCCTTCCTCCAAGCACAAAAAGAGGTACCGAAGGCATACTATTCAGATTAAGACTAGGTTACCAATGTCCTTGGCAAATTATTGACAGTGAGTCTGGGAGGTCATGTAAACACTGCGGCGAGTCTAACGCCACCCTGTTACATTACTTGCAGAATTGTGAACACACAATTTCTAAGACAGGGACCACCCACCACAGTCGCCGGGCTGGTAAAACGGGTCTGTAACATGCTTACTCTGTGGCAGATGGATCGCTTGCTCGCAATCCAGCCACCACGATAAGCATGCAGTTCAAAGAAACCACATGAGTTAACTAGAAATAGTTAACACAGGCCAGGCCACTCCACAGAAAAGGCCCGGGCGAAGCATGCCTTAGCAAATCTAACTAAAATGAACTGAACTGTCCGTGGTCAACCAATCAGGTCTCGGTATGCGTCTTCGAATAGCTGCTGATGGTGAGGGCGAGAGGACAGGCTGTGGACCCAACCTGGGGGAAGTATGCCGCGCTGCAGGTTGCGGGGGTCGGCTACACCTCCTCACCTTAATGCCCAGCCATCACTACCATGTCTTTGATCCACGCCTACCCACACCATGTCTGCCACACTACTTCGTGCTGATCACTCATGCCTGTGCTATCCTTCTGGCGAAGTCGCTGACAATGTATTATCACACTCTACAACACCACTCTTGCCAACCCGACCCACCTACCTCGCAAAGTCTTTGCAAACCCTCGTCAGCACAGCTGTGTCACACTTTTATCCTGCATCATCGATCCTTCCTCCCTAAACGCACCCACATCTTACAGATAAGTTGCCTTTTCGTAACAAACGCACACTACTAATTCTATATTACAAAATTTCTCACTGTTAATCAGTTTTAACTATACTTACAAACGAAGTCACACACTGAGATCAGACGTGACAACATTCACCTCACTCCCCTCACCTCATTCCCCCACCTTAACCATTCCTTAATTGATGTATAGTATTGTGTTATTTGTTTTTCAGTGTATCGTATTATTGTTGTCTCCACATTGCACAGTTTAGTATGTTTTATTTTTTTCTCAGAGCAAATAACCACACTTCAATTTATTAAATTACTGTAATGTTTCATTATGTTTATTGTTTATGAATTTATATCTTGTTTTTATCTCTTTTAGATGATATCACTTCGTTATTGCTTGTGTCCTCATTACATTCTTTGAATTTATACATATCGTTGTGTTCTTTGTTCTTTTAAAAATTACTTTCCTTTTACTTGCTGCGGTAATTGTTCGTTTATTCACACATACATGTTAATAACCCCTTTGACTCACCTATTTGACCACTCTACACGGAATGCACTTAGGATTATAAATTGTACTAAGTATCATACATTTTATAACTGACTCTAACTCACTTCAATGAAGCCTCTCAGTGTTCGATATCTTGTCCTTAGTAATGCTGGAGTTTATGCTTCTTTAGTTTTAAGGTATTGGTGAATATGTAACATGTAACTAACTGATGGTCGAAATCTGTTGCAATAGGGGTAATGCACTGCAGACACTATGTTTTATATAGGCTTACATAGTTATTATCACCGGAATTTAGTTTTAAGCTGGCATGTCTACCACGAAGAAATCGCGCCTAGTCGCACGTCGAATGTATGAAGAAATAATGCGATAATGCTGTTACTCACACTTACGTCATACTGCACCGAGAAGCGCACGTTTACTTTTTTAGGCCAAGCTGCCTGTGAATTGCACGCCACTGCCGCACTTACGTTTTTACAGCGCCTGAGACGCTCACGTTTACTTTAAGTTTAGGCCAAAGCTGTGTCTGAAGCATTATTACTAGCCTTTTAGCCCGAAGATATAGAATTCTTGCTCACTTACTTTTCTCTCAACTATGTAATAGTACTCTATTGAACTCACTAATCCTTCTCATATGACATGTTACCTTTCTCATGACAAATGTTCCTATTATGCCATTATACCCTGACACGCGACGACCCAAAAGACCATGCAGCACCAGCAACCATCTGTAGAAGCCAATCAGGAGCATAAGACGTTCAGATGACCAGTTTAGCGTGACTGAGCGGTATGTCAACGATATGATTCAAACCGGATAGGTTTTGCACTGCACCTATGCCCTAGCTATTGCCTGACTTCCTTGCATCGCACCTACCACACTTGAGCCTGGCCCAAGTACTTTCTCACCCTCGAGCAATTCCGGCGAAATGCAGAAGCAGGCACCTGACCAGGACAGGAGTCGCTGGATAAAAAGACGTCTTGAAGGTAGACAGGAGAGACCGAGTAGACAGAAGAACAGGAGCAGACGCAGAACAAGGCAGATCATCCTCTCCCTTCAGCGCCTGGGGTCTCTCGTGGGATCACAACTTTACCATCTCTAATAAACCAGCAAGCCAAGACCCCTTTCATTCCACCTGGTCCACGTCCTCAACTCTATCACAATATATACATATGTATAATAACATATTGATTAATATATATATATGATATATATATATATATATATATATATATATTAATATATATATATATATATATATATATATATATAATATATATATATATATATATATATATATATATATATATATATATATATATATATATATATATATATATATATAATATATATATATATATATATATATATATATATATATATATATATATATATATATATATATATATATATATATATATATATATATATATATATATATATATATATATATATAATATATATATATATATATATATATATATATATATATATATATATATATATATATATAATATATATATATATATATATATATATATAT